GATCACTTCCTTAGCCAGCACCCGGCTGACCTCACCCTCACTGCCTTTGTCGACACCCTCACCAAGATCGAGACTCGCCAGCGACTATCGCTCAGTCGAGCGGTGCGCTGGCAGTCTCTATCTTTCACGGTTGTGCACCCTCCAAGTGCACGTTCACTGACGTTTCGGCTGCGGTCGCCACGGCGACCCCTCTCCGAGACGGCTGCTGCGGTCCACCCGCAGCAGCGCTCGCGCCGCAGTGGCCGTGGTCGCCAGGGAGGTCGGGGTGGTGGCGCAGGTGGTGGTGGTGGTGTTAGTGGTAGTGACGGTAGTCCGCCTGCTGGGACTACCACTGGTCGGCAGGAGCAGCAGCCCCCGCCGCAGCAGGAGCAGCCCGAGCCGCCGCCGCCGTCCCAGCAGCAGCCGTCGCCCCAGCAGCAGCCGCCGTAGCAGTGGGCTCGTCTCCCGCCTGGTTGGCCTGGCACCAGCGGAGGTGGTGGCCGTGGTGGCGGCCCGCGCAGCTCGGCGTCTACCAGCGGCTCCGGTGCTGTGACCTGCCAGTACCAGCTTCAGACCGGGCCTCTTCGCGGCACTCTGTGTCGCCGCCCGCACCCGACTGCCCGCTGTTTTCGCCGCCTTGACGATCTTTTTCATCGTCGCTTTGGCCCGGCCCCGGACCTCCCTGACTGGCACAGCCTGCTCCGCCAGGGCGTGCCGATCTTTGAGTTAGACATGGATCAGATAGGTGCTGCGTTGCATGCTTTGTATTCTGACGCTGCTAGTGTTGCTTGATCTTATTATCCTGTGTTCTCCAGCTTAGGTGTTGCACCCTTGTGTAGCATAGCTTCCCCTGCTGCGTCAGGCGTAGGACTGCCTAGTTTGCCTAGCCCAGTCTTTGCACCGGCCCCGTTCCCGGCCTCCGCCACTGCATCGCTGTCGTTCACTCTCGACTCCGGTGCTTCTGCCTGCTTCTTCCGCGACCGCTCCGCGCTCACGCCGCTTGCTACACCTGCTGTCGTCTCTCTCGCTGACCCCTCTGCGGGTCCTGTCGTTGCTCGCAATTCTACGTCCCTTCCCTGTCCTGCAGTTCCCTCGGGCTCCCTTACAGGCCACCACGTTCCCCGGGCACGAGCGGTTCGCTGTCTGTTCTGAGGCTGTCTCAGGTTCCCCTCTTGCAACGTTCCCCCGGGACCCGGTGTCCGGTCTGTTTACCCTCGACACCGCTTTCCCCCCAGTTGGTGCGTCCTCCCAGGTCGCTGCAGCTTGCTCGTGTTGTTCCCTCACTCACCCGTCCCTTCTCTGGCACCACCGCTTAGGTCACCCTGCTCTCCCTCGTCTGCGTCACATGTCCCAGCACGGTCTTGTCTTAGGTCTCCCCGCGTCGCTCCCTGCCCTTCCTCCCTCGACTGCGCCACCGTGCACGCCTTGCGTCGAGGGCCGCCTCCGCCGTGCTCCTCACTCCTCCTCGCTGCGCCCTGCGACTGCCCCCCTCCACACCCTGCACCTGGACGTCTGGGGCCCTGCCCCCGTCCCCGGACCGCGCGGTGAGTGCTACTTCCTTGTGCTCGTCGATGATCACCACGGTGGAGCGGAAGGCCGACGTGCCCGACGTTCTTCTACCGTGGGTTGTGGCTGCGCGTCTTCGCTGCAGTCTCCCCGTGTTGTGTCTCCACTCTGACCGTGGCGGCGAGTTCGCCTCTGGTCGACTTGGACAGTTCTGTCGTGCGGAGGGTATCACCCAGACGTACACCTTGCCCGACTCGCCACAGCAGAATGGGGTTGCTGAGCGCCGCATTGGCTTGGTCATGGAGGTTGCTCGTACCTCCATGATTCATGCTGATGCCCCCCATTTTCTGTGGCCGTTCGCTATTCGCTACGCTGCTCACCAGCTTAACTTGTGGGCACGCTCTCAGCGGCCACAGGTTTCGCCGACCCTCCTCTGGACCGGGTCCCCTGGTGACGCGTCTGCGTTCCACGTCTGGGGCTGTCTTGCTCACGTTCGTGCCTCTGGCACGGACAAGCTCACTGCCCGCATGGTCCCCTGTGTCTTCCTTTGTTTCCCCCTCGACTCGTCTGACTGGCTGTTCTACCACCCCCCGTCTCACCGCTTCCTCCACTCTCGTGACGTCACCTTTGACGAGCCTGTCTCCTTCTACCGTCGCTTCCCTCACCGAGGTCTCTCGGTTGCCCCGCCCCTGTTCCTTGCTCCCTCTCCCCCGGTAGCCCCTGCGCCTCCCCCGCCTCGCCCTGCCCCGTCTGGTGTCTCTCACGTCACTCCCCTCCCGTCGGTTGTCCCCGTTGAGGAGTCCGCTGACTCTGGTGGTACACCTGGCCCGTCCGTGCCGTGTCCCCCTCCCCCGGTGTCTTCGCCTCCACGGTCGCAGTCGCCCCCTCTGACGCAGCCGCTGCCGCCGCCGCCGCCGTCGCTGCTGTTGCCGCTGCCGCCGTCGCTACCGCCGCCGCTCTTGGCCCCTGCGACTGCTCGCGGGAGGAGGGTGTTCGTCCTGCAGCTTCTGGGGGTGCCGCTGGTGTTGGAGGAGGTCCTCGCTCTGGGGGTGTTGGTTCTGGGGGTGCTGCTGTTGAGGGTTCCGCCACTGGTCGTCCTCCCTCTGCGAGTCCGAGCGTTCCGGCACAGTCGCCGCCGGTCTCCGCTCTCCGCCTGCTCGGCCTTCCCTCCCCAGACTGCTCCCCGGTGTCTTCCCCGCCGTCTGCTGACCTTCCTGTCTACGGTCCTGTGTTCCCGCCGCCGGACTCGTCTCCGGCCCGGCTTCCTCCTCGTTCTCCTCCTGTGTCCCCTCCACTGTCTCCTGACCCTACACCTCCGTCGCACGTTTGGTCTCGCCGTCCCTCCCGTGCTCGTCCCGTCTCTCCTGTCCTGCGCTCCCACCCTATGTTGCTCCATTCCCACTCGTCTCGTCCTCCCCTCCTCCCGTCACCTCCTCCCTCGTCCCTTTCTGTTTCGCCTCCTCCGTTCTCTGACTACCTCCGTGGCGCTCGTCCCCTTGTCCCTCGGGTTCTTGCCTCTCTTGTTACCGACCCTTCTGTTCCCGTCTCGCGCCTTGACGCGCTTGTCGCTGCTGTCGCTGACTTTGCCTCTACCCGCCGCCTTGACTACGCTACCGCTCTGGTCTCTGGCCCTGCCCGTCCTCCGTCCGTCGGGGGTGCACCTGCCCTTGGCAGTGACGTCCTAGAGGACAGGCAGTACGAGCTTGCTTTCCTTTCCGAGGCCGCTCCCCATCTTTGCTCCATGCTCATAGTCCCTGAGGGTGACCCAGACGCCTTCGACATCCCGACCCCTCGCACCTACGCTGAGGCCACTTCGGGACCCTGGGCCTCTCAGTGGATAGCTGCCATGGAGCAGGAGATGGCATCTTGGAGGTCCACCGGCACTTACGTCAACGCAGTTCCCCCACTTGGGGTGAACGTAGTCGATGGTCGGTGGCTCTTCAAGGTGAAGCGCCCCCCAGGAGAGCCGCCTGTCTTCAAGGCGCGCTACGTGGCCAGAGGCTTCAGCCAGCGCGAGGGGGTGGACTTCTTCCAGACCTTCGCCCCGACCCCGAAGATGACCACTCTTTGGGCGCTGCTACACGTAGCAGCACAGCGCGACTACGAGCTTCACTCCCTCGACTTCTCTACTGCCTTTCTTCAGGGCAGCCTACACGAGCAGGTCTACCGGCGCCGACCACAGGGCTTCGCTGGTACCTTCCCCCCTGGGACCCAGTGGCTTCTCAGGCGCCCGGTCTACGGCCTGCGCCAGGCTCCCCGCGAGTGGCACGACACGCTGCGTGCCACGCTACCAGACCTGCAGTTCTTTCCGTCATCCTCTGACCCCTCGCTTTTTGTGCGGTCCGGCCAGACTCCGTTCTACATCCTTGTCTACGTAGACGACCTGGTCTTTGCTATTGCTGACAGGGACGCACTGGCCTCAGTGAAGGCCGAGCTGCAGAAGAGACACACCTGCACTGACCTTGGAGAGCTGCGTTGCTATCTTGGCCTGCAGATCTCTAGGGACAGAGCAGCACGCACCATCACTCTGACACAGTCACACTTGGTGCGTCAGGTCCTTCAGAGGTTCGGTCTTCAGTTCTCCTCTGCACAGCCCACACCTCTACCCATAGACCACGGGCTCTCCGCTCCCGTTCCTGAGGAGCCAGTAGAGCCCAGTGGCCCCTATGCAGAGCTGGTGGGTTGCCTCATGTACCTGATGACTTGCACTCGCCCAGATCTCGCATACCCTCTCAGCATCCTAGCTCGCTTTGTGGCCACTGGCAGACACTGACCACAGCACTGGTCGGCCGCTAAGAGGGTTTTGCGATATCTAGCAAGTACATCCGGCATGGGGCTAGTGCTAGGAGGACGCAGGCCAGTGGTCCTCACTGGGCACACAGACGCGTCTTGGGCAGACGACTCTGAGACGCTCAGGTCGTCGCAGGGCTACTGCTTTAGCCTTGGTTCGGGTGCTATCTCTTGGAGATCCACTCGCTCGTCGTCTGTTGCTCAGTCCAGCTGTGAGGCTGAGATCTACGCTGGTGCCATGGCGGCACAGGAGCTCCGCTGGCTGACCTTCTTGCTCACTGACTTAGGTGAGCGGCCTAGCTCTGCCCCGGTCCTGTACGCTGACAACAGGGCCATGATCCTCCTGTGTCAAGAGCCTCGGCTTGAGGGCAGAGCGAAGCACATTCAGCTGCGGTACTTTCTCCTACGCGAGCTACAGCAGCGCCGCCAGGCCCGCGTAGTTCACTTGGCCTCTGGTGCCAAAACAGCTGATATCTTTACGAAGGCGCTTGCGCCTAAAGATCATCAGAGGCACTGTGTACAGCTGGGTCTAGTTCCTGTAGCCTCTCACTTGCTAGGACCTTGACCTTGTACTATTCTATATATGTCTGCATATGTACTCAGACTGGACTTGTGTCCTCTCCCAGTGGCTGGACTAGTAGTGCCGTCCTGGTCTTGTTCTTGTCTTGTCTGTACTCCTTTTGATTGGTCTTTAGACCCTTGTCTCAGAGGCTGGACTAGTACCGTATTCCCCCGGATAAAACACCCGCCGGAATTAATCACCCATGGGTGGTTTGGGCGGACCTGGGTGCTTAATTAAACTGGATATTCATACCACCCTAGTTTTTGGCATGAAACCTATACACCACCCCCCTGGTTCATTTTCAATGGAGTTCTGTAGATTTTGCCTCTTATCAGAGTGTCTCTTATCAGACTCGCGCGTCACTGAGCAGTGCAAGCTAGACGCGAAGTGGTTCAATGCGATGTAGAACTGTTACCATGCCTAGAATTCCTGAGTATCAGGCAAATGTTGCGAGCCTGATACTGTACGAGACTCATGGGAGGTTGCCACTTGCCACCACGATACTGTACGAGCCTGATTCCCGTCGAGGTTGCCACTTGCCACCACGATTTGACAGAATGTGACAATCTGTGACGCAGGCAACCTATGACTGTTTGCCTGCAACGTGGCATGACGATGGTCCTCCTCACCATATACGCGATCACGAGCAGGAATCGTAAAAAATCGGCACAAAAGAACTGTCTACAACACAGTTCAATTCCAGTTCATAAGCATAAAATTGTCATTCCATAGCCCCCGGGCGTTATACAAAAAGTGCCACTAATTACACCCCCACTAAATTTTGCATCAAAATTTAGTGCCACCCGTGGGTGTTTTATCCGGGGGAATACGGTAGTGCCGCCCTGAGCTGCTTGTTCAAAACCTGCCCCTATGCAGTCTAGGGGGTGTGTCAAACATGTTTATCTACAATGTTTGTGTAGACTGTATAGGGTCATTTCTTAGAGAGTACAACCCTTAGATATATGTCCTTGTACAATTCTTTCTAGTCAATTACTATTCAGTTTTCCTTTGAGACAAGCACCTTTGCAACGCTAGCATTGGGAATTTTGAACCCGAATCACCCATGCTCTGATACCATGTCAAAACTCAGTCACTAACCATTGAATTAAAAGGGCGTGTTACGTAGCGGGTTAATGTGCCCACAACCACCCAGGCAGAGAGGCCTGTAACCCTTCCCCGAGGATCTCTCAAGGGCAACCCCAGCGGGTCTCTCGACACGGCACTGTACAGCATGCGTCGCGATGGTCCCTGGTATGTGTATGTCCAGATCATTACGGTATGTGGAATGGTTTACCACTAAGGTGGTCGATCGGACGGAAATCTAAATCGTAGCGCCGCAATCCGGCGGTACTTTGAATCGCATCCGAATCATCATGGTGCCACGATCTGGTGCTGCAGTGGCAGCAGGGAGCCAGCAGGCAGAGGGCCGGGCCGGGTGACAAAGTCCCTTGGATCCTTCAGGTTGACACCGTCAGAGCCGTTCAACACCCAATTTGGCTTCTCCTGCATGTAGTTGGAGAAGGGTGTGGGAGGCGTGAAGGGGGGTGACAGAAAGGGGGGGGGAAGGAGGGAGAGGGGGTCAGGGAAAGAGGGGTGTGATTATGGAGGGAGGCGGTTCTCAGGCATGACTTACAGGGCTCAGCGGCGCTCCCCAGGACGCTCACACTCACCTTCCACGTCTTCCCAAACAGGTTGTAGAGACTGTATGCCGGCATATTACCCAGCTTCGACCTCCCCCTGTGAAAGCCACTGGCTTACACGCCAAATTCCCTCACACACACATTCATGTGCACAAGCATGCACACTCAAGCTTTGCACTCACCTTCCACGTCTTCCCAAACAGCTTGTATGGACTGTATGCCGGCACTTGAACGAGCTTCGACCTCTCCTCCATGACAGTGTTAACTGCCACTGCTCCTGATACTCCCACCCTCCCCTCCTGATATAACACACGCACATGTGCAAACACACACACACCCCCATGCTCACACCCACCTTCCACGTCTTTGCAATAAGGTTGTAGAGACTGCAAGCAGGCACCCCATCCAGCTTCAACCTCTCCCCCTTGACAGTGTTAAACGTCAACGTCTTTAGCGCTCCCTCCCCTTCCCTCCCCAGCAGGCACCCCATCCAGCTTCAACCTCTCCCCAGTCACCATATCAAACGCAGCAGTCCCCCTGACGCTCCCATCCAACCACCCGCACACACCCACACACTGTAACACCCACCTTCCACGTCTTCCCAATGAGGTTGTAGAGGCTGTACGCAGGCACTCCATCCAGCTTCAACCTCTCCCCAGTCACCATATCAAACGCAGCAGTCCCCCTGACGCTCCCATCCAACCACCCGCACACACCCACACACTGTAACACCCACCTTCCACGTCTTCCCAATGAGGTTGTAGAGGCTGTACGCAGGCACTCCATCCAGCTTCAACCTCTCCCCCGTGACAGTATTGAAAGCCACTGTCCCCGACGCTCCCTCAAACCGCACGCAATTGGCCGGCTTGTTACGGAAGCAGTCCAGCACGGCTTGCGCGGTTACCACCTGGTTTTGGACGGCTATGATGTTCTGAAACGCCTCAAAGAACGCCCAGATGGAGTCGATCAGATGCGCCACATATAGGCGCGTCTCGTTGTACTGTAATGGGATGCACGGGAGGGTATGCATACAGTTATAAAAGCTGCAAATAGTTGTTTAAGGTGCATAACCTCCAGTACGTTTTTTAAAAGCGCACGAATACGATTGGCGAGACGCAGCGAGGGACGGATGGACAGGGAAGGACAGAGAAACAGATTGAGCAGGCACTTTAATAGGCGAGGCGTGGGAGAAGGATCATGATAAACCCAGGCCGTGCATCACCAGAGAAACATCAGAGCTCTGTTACCTTTGGTGTGGTTTGCGCGTTGATCAGCCCTACAAAGTCGTCTGCTGCCTGCTGCTTCCAGTAGTCCGTGAATGGGCGCAGGTTGGGGCTCTCAAAGGGCACTGGGGAGAAAACAAAGGGAGGTTTGAGAGAGAAGGGGGGATAGAAAATGTGGGCAGGTGATAATAAGAATACAGGTTGGTCAGAATTGCAGACTTGTCGGTCATAATTACAGGGATGTGTACAGATGCACATTTCTCGAAACAGGGATATTCAACCTGTGTGATATAAGTCTCGTTTTGAGTCGACTCAAAACAAAACCTATACTTATGGAGGGATATGCAACCCTTTTTTAGGCGACTCAATACAACATCCTTCACAAGCAGCACTCACTGTTGGGGCCAATCGCTATCTCCCCTTGCAGCGACCGGGACAGCGTTCCAAGCCTCTCGCCGGCTATGAGGGGGGAGCAAGCATTGGGGAGGAAGATGGGGGGAGAGGGGGGGGGGATGGGAGGGGGAAAGTAAGGAGGAATTGAGAATCGCGAACTCCCCTTGCAGCAACCGGGACAGTGTTCCAAGCCTTTCACCGGCTGGAATGGGGAGAGGAGGCATAGGGGAGGAAGATGGGGGGAGAGGGGGGGGATGGGAGGGGGGAAGTAAGGAGGAATCGAAAATCGCAATCTCCCCTTGCAGCATCCAGGACAGTGTTCCAAGCCTCTCGCCGGCTGTACGGGGGAGAGGAGGCATAGGGAGGGAAGGGAGGAGAAGGGAAGAAAGGAAAGAGTGAGAGTTTTCTTTTACCTTTGCACTGGTTGTGAGACTCGCCTCAAGAAAGGGGAAGAGTGAGCATGTTTCCCTTTGCAGTGACCTGGGTGGAGTTCTAACACCTTCCAATGGTTGTGGGTATGAAAGGCGGTTGCGATGAGAGGATCACGAAGGGTGGATGAAGTGACTTTTGAGTCGACTCAAAAGGCGGATGCAATGAGCAGATCACGAAGGGTGGATGAACTGGACTGACTAGGGGGCGAGTGAATGTTTGAATGAGTGAGTGTGTGTCTGAATGAGTGAGTGAGTGAGTAAGGTGAGATGGCATGGTTACATTGGTCCACAAAGTCAAGAGCAGCCACACCATCAGTTCCAAGGTACCACCACCAAGGAGGGTACGGGGTAGCCCTAGTGTGCCTATGCTACTGAGTTACATGCTACAACGGCAGTGGTGAGTGAGAGACATTGCTTACATTGGTCCACAAAGTCAAGAGCAGCCACACCATCGGTTCCAAGGTACCACCAGGGATAACGAGTGAAGTTCTGAGGAGAGCAAGCGGAGAGAAGGGAGGGGGAGAGGAGAGGGAGTGAAGAGGTGAAAAGAGGAAAAGAGTGGTAAGGGAGAGAAAACACTCCGTCGGTCCCAAGATACTACCAGGGGTAGCGAGTGAAGTTCTGAGGAGAAAGAGGGGCGACGGGAAAGGAGAGGAGGGGGGAAAGAGCAGAGCACCATAGGGATCCCAAGTACCACTAGGGATAGCGAGTGAAATTCTGGGGAGAATGCGAGGAGGAGAGAGAAAGGGAGCGGAGAGGGGGCAATCAAAGGCTTTAGGGTCAAATGGGAGGAGGGACCACCAGGGGTAGCGATTCACTCACCCTCAGCACCACCAATGATAGCGAGTGAAGTTCTGGGGAGAATGCGAGGAGGAGAGAGAAAGGGAGCGGAGAGGGGACAGTTCAAAGGCTTCAGGGTCAAATGGGAGGAGGGAAAAGAACGCCGTCGGTTCCCAGGCACCACCAGGGGTAGCGAGTGAACTTATGGGGAGAAAAAAGGATGATAGGAGTCTAGTCTTGAGGCGCCTCAAGACTAGACTCCTATCACGTCGGTTCGCAGGTACCACCAGGGGTAGAGAGTGAACTTATGGGGAGAAAAAAGGGGAGGCGAGAGAGGAGAGGGAGTGAAGAAGAGAAAAGAGGAGAGTAAACGACTAAGGGGAAAAGAATGACATCAGTTCCACACACCACCATGGGTAGCGGGTGGATTTCTAAGAAAACAAGGAGAGGAGACGGGGCGAGCACGCAGCAGATAAGCTATTCTCATGCAGCAGGTCCTATGCAATGGCTGCTTTACTGCCACACCTCCGCCTTGCTCACCTGCTGTATTGGATATTATCCCTCCCCCTCCCTTGCTCACCTCCCTAACCGCCGCCCGCCAGAACCCCTCGGCGACAGCTGGCAGGGCGGCGAGCACGCAGATGGACCTCTCCCCGACTGCCACGTCAGCAAAGAGCGGCGCAAACTCGTCCACGGGGTAGCTGACTGGGATCGTGCTGACCGGGATGAGGCTGCCGTCCAGCTCAGCTTGGATTCTGGTGGCTAGAGCGGAGCCGTATGTCTCGTTGGAGTAGAACAAGTGAACCTCCTCGAATTGGAGGAACTTGACTAGAGCTGCTATCTCCCTGGCCTGATGCTTGTCAGCGAAGCTGAATACAATAGTGGGACAGGGAAGGAGTAGGAGGATATAAGGGAGATGAGACAAGGATGGAGGGACCAAGAGTGGCGTCCAGCTCAGCTTGGAGTAGGATAGGTGAACCTCCTCGAGTTGGAGAAACTTCACCAGAGTGGCAAACTCCTTGGCTTGGTGCTTGTCATGGGGTAGGGGATGGGGAGGAATCTTAG